TTTCCCCTCTCCCCCGACCAGAAGAACGGAGATGATTCAAGGTCAGTATCTTTCTTCTTTCTTATTTGCTTGCTGCCGCTCTGTTGCTTTTCTTTTGCATTTGTTTTTATTACCTGGTATACTTGGTCTTCACGGTTTGTTCGTTTTATTTCGTCCTGTTTGCTCCTTTTTTGTCTTTATTTTTGTTTGTTAGTTGCCTTTGCTCCGCCTTGCTTGTTCGTTGTCTCTTTCCCTTATTCTTTGTTTGCATTCCCCGGTTATATGTGCCGACTGTCTTTCGTGTTTGGTTGTTTTTCCCCTTTGCTGTTGCCTCTTCTCCTTTCGTATGCTTACGTTGTTTTTCTCGTGTGCTTGTATACAATATTCGTCTCTGTGTTAACTCTACGTCTCTGTTTCCGTTGCCTTTCTTATTTGCCTGTCGCCAGTGTTTCTTCTTGTTTGCGTCCTTGATTTCGTTTCGATCTGTTTGTTGCATTTTCTTCCTCTTGGTAACCTCTTAATCTCTGTTGATTCTGAGTTCTTTTTTTTTTGCGTGTTTTGTGTTTTGCTACTGCAGGCTGCAGACGCGCGGCAACAAGGACCAATTAAATGTAATTTTCAACGTCTTAGGGACTCCAACAGAAGAAGAAATCGAAGCGCTCGAGTCAAACGAGGCCAAGCAATACATCCGCACATTTCCCCCTAAAGAGGCTCACGACTTGGCCGAACGATTTTCTGCTTCATCCCGTACGCTGATCAAGCAAATAAACACAAAATAAACAGCAAATAACAAATAACAAATGAAAATTGAACAAGAAAAAACAATAAAATAAATGCAGGAACAAACACATGGTTTATTTTCTTTCTTCTCACCTATAAGATGCATACATTCTCATTGATGCATAGAAACGAATATATTCGCATAATGCATCTTTGCATCTTCCAGCAGGAAGCTTGGCGCGACGATGGTTTATGTGTTTTTGTTTTTTTTTGTATTTATTATTTACAGCTGAAGCATTGAACCTGCTGAAGCGGATGTTGGTGTTCAACCCCAAACGACGTATTTCCGTAGACGAATGTTTGGCGCATCCGTTCTTTAAAGAAGTGCGAAATCCCGCAATCGAGGTTCGTCGATTTCTTTCTTTTTTTCTACAGCCCCCAAGCTTATTTCTTCGTTTTTATGTCGGGTGTTTATTTGTTTTTTATATAAGTTTCCTTAAAACCCACTCCGCTTCTCTACCGTTTTCCTTTTGCTTCTGTTCGTGCCATTTGCAAGCCCACACGGCCTCTCCGTACACCGCACGCAGCGTTGGCG